GGTATCGCCGTGGTTAATTGCCCCATTAACAGTGACAGGGTAAATTGGTGGAATGGCTAACTATACATTACAGTGAAAACAACAACCTCTGGCCTGGACCTGGGGGCATGAGAGGAGTGCACCCAGAAAGGGCCTTGTGCGCAAAGGAGAAATGGGTTGAACTATCCAACAGCACACATTCTATAAGTGAGATTGTTTATGGACATGTATTCAATATACAGTGATTTTTGTAATCAGGTCAGGCATGTAATGTTGTTCAAGAGTGTATGTTTAGTCAAATGCCAATGTAGGAATAATTTTAAAAAGCATCAACTGTGACAATGTTGTTTTATTCTTATTATTGTGTTTTAATTGTGTGCACCATGTGCACTTGTATATTGTAAATAGTAACTGTAACTCTATTTTAAATGTAAATGTATTCTTTAGAAGTGTTTTTTATTCTTATTTTTATTATCTCTTTCTGACTGTTGCACTGAGCCAAAGCAATTTCCAAGTCTGTGACCTCCTGTTACTTACGTGGCAATAAAAATGATTCTGATTCTGATTCTGATAATAAAGTATATGTTTCTAGATCATTCACTACACAGCCACATGTGAAGAGGGAGGCCTAGATCTCCTTACAAACACACACACACACACACATTCACACAAATGTACATTGTAAATGCAAATCTGTGTTATGTAGATATATTTTATTAATACAACAAAAAATATTGATTACAAGCCCAAGGGTGGGGTTAACGTAAAGACGGTTGCTTTACATTACGCATTTATAGATCCATATGCTAATTTACAAATGACATGCAAATAATAAAATATTCATTATGCCTAAAGAGCAGAAGCAGAAGGTATAATCATAAATATCGGGTATAATCAGAGAGGGCTCATTAATAGATACATACACTGTGTGTGTACGTTGTAATCTGCAGACCCAAACCAGTGTATGCCTTTTCTCCACGCAACGCGCAGGCCGCTACCCACGCACACGCGCGTCACACATCTCATATTCAAAATGGCCTGGTGTTAAAATCACAGCACCTTTCCAGCAGACGTGTTTGGATCATAAATGACTGGCTCGTCAGTGTCTTTTAACGCAGCCTCATCAATAATAAAACATATCCATGTGTGCGTAAAGACGCGCCGCTTGGACTCGGACGCACGCTGATTTATGCTTGGGACATGCCGCAATCTTTGTGTGGTGCTGAGGGCCACATAGACAACCACTTTGCACCAGGGACATGTCCAAATCGTAAAATAATTATTGGATGAGCTACAAATGTCGACCAGCATGTTAACTGGCCAGTAAATGGATTCTCTAAGAATTTATTGTTGAAATAAACGGAAGGAAAATCAGGACAAAGCAAATGTGTATGGAAAAGAGAAAGAAGCATCGTTTATATAAGACTATAATAAGGTTGTTCTTCATTATAATTACCATAATGCCCGAGATGGTTGTGAATCTGTGGTGCTTAAAACTTAGCAAATTATTGTTCACCCAGTTAAATTCACAGGACTCTTACTATATAGGCATCACAGGTACGAGCCTATATTGTCAAAATACATGTCTAGAATTCAAAAATACTTTTTGTATGCCTATATCTTTCAAATCAGCTTCAGCCTGTTAAATATGGACGATGGACAGATTGCCTTCCACCGTGAAAATCACAATAGTATTATCATAACAATGGGCGAGCCGTGTGGCAGGATGGACGAGCATGCACCGCGGAAAGAGCCAAACTCAGGCTTCTATCTGGACATTGCAGTGGACGCTTGTGTGCAACTATTTATATTATCTTTTATAGATACAAAGTTGCACAAGTTAGAGAATCACTGATCACTATATGTTCACTAGTATGACGCACAGCTGCAGGCAAAAAGGGAGGTGGCAGGCCTTCTTGAGAAAATATTTTTTTTTATTTGTAATTTAACTGAAAATCGATTTATTTGACATTTTATGAATTTAAAAGTAATAATAACGAATCTAATTAATTCCTCAACCCGAAAAGCAGAAAGCGTATATAAGCAAGACGAGAAAAGCATAAAGCAAAGATGCTGCAAAGCCTTCAAACAAATACAAGAATTACAATTATTTACCCTCTAATTCATTTAAAGTAAATAATTGCACATATCTCTTGGTTCCGGGCTCAGGGTTTACTAAATCTACCAGACAGCATTGAGTGTCGGAATCACTGCTGAGTATATTGATCCTACTTAATCTTATACACGAATCTCTTTTCCATTCAGTACTAAATATCCTGTATGCAAACAGTACACAATGGAATATACGTATTACTACATTATATGCCATATATTTTCACAAGATGTCCTAACGATCTCACGTTTTCGTTTTTGGCTATTTTGTTTTTAATATAAGTCCAAACGCTACGTCATCAAGTCAAAAAGATACAAAATAAACACATTTTAGCGATATTTTTCTAAGATTAAAATATGATAAAATGTAGTATTATTCTCTCTCTCCGTCCCGTGCAGCCTCTCTCCTCCCTCCCTCTCTCTCCTCGCTCTCGCGGAATCCTATTGATCCAAACGGGCTAATTAGCGGTGTCTGCGCAATTACGCACATGCGCACTGAGCGTAATCTCAGCCATTTTTTGAAGGAAACTAATTAGCAGGAATAAAGAGCCAAGTGTTTTTCCCCCCACAGTGATCAGAACTCATTCTACCTCTGGAGCTCGCACAAACCCCTCCGTCCCCCATCTTCTGTTTACCACAGCGATATGTAGCTTTAATTACACTCTTGTTTTGGAACAAGTCGGACCCTGCTGCTCTCTCCCTCTCCCCGCTTCCCCTCTCCTGCTTCGCAAAAACACAAGAGGATCATCCATAAGGAATGAGTGGGATCTCTATACGATTGTTTTGTGGATTACTTAAACGTGAGGAGCGTTTTGCCGGAGCAGCTGCACAAATGTAAGTGATCGCGTTTGTTTATTTCACGTTTCGCGACAAGCGTATAGCGCCTGGCGATGGGACGGGGACGGCTGTTTAGCACGCGATTCTCTTTAATACACACGAATGAAGCTTTCGACGGTCTGCTTATGGCTCTCGTCACTTGTTACGGGATATGTGCGCTCGTTTGGGCTGTTACAAAGCGGTCCATAATAATAAACAAAGGCTGGGCGAGTGTTGGTGTAGTGGTTCGACAACACGCTGGCATGGAGTGAACAGCTAAGGTCTCTTCCTTGTTCTGTGTCCGCACTAAAGCTCTAATGTAGATCCTATTAACAATCTTAGTGGTGCTATTACCTGAGATCGGTGCATAGCGCAAGCTCCTCTGACAGCAGCCATTATGAAGAAAAGGAAAACAATATCCAATTCATTTTGGTCAAGCTAAACAAACTAAAAGCGACACAAGTGTAGTCAGTATAGTCACAAGTCTTGTCCGTGTGTTGTGCCTCCTCCTCGTTCTCCTCCACACATCCCTTTCACGCTTGGCACTCACCCTCACTCCCCAGGCATAACTATAGGTAGACACACTTCACCCAGGGAATTCACTGTTTGAATTTGGATTGCTACTTTTGCAAACACACGCAGCTTTCCAAACTAGTGTTTGTATACGCTCCTAGAACACTGCTTGGGGTGTTCTGAAAGAGGACTACACACCTTGATGTACACACACATGTTAAATGATGGTTTCCCGCACTCGTGATCGATAGGGAGCCAGGAATGCTTGTATAAATAGTTACATTGCCGATAGACCGGGGTTATTGATTGCAGTGTAAATGAAAATCTTTATCAGATTAGAGAGTGTTCTCAGCTGCTGGCAGACAGGCCGGCAGGGTCCCTAAGCACTCGCAGACAGGACAGTGGACAGCTGCAGTGGCCAAGGGTCTGTGGCCTGTGACATAAGCACAGTACATTAAAGGACTATCACAGTGCCGATATGAGCCATATATCTTATAAGTGCGGGCAGGGCAGAGGGAGAGGGGGGAGGCTGCTGGGGAGTGTTGTAGTGGGGCCCCATGCAGAAGGAGGGGGTGAAGGAGGAGAAGGTGAAAGGGTACATTAAGGTCTCTCCTTGATTAAAAAAGGTCAGTAATGAGATTGCAGAATAGATACACAATATGAAACATACAGCTGGCTTAATATAGAATATATTATGTCAGGCCTTGTCCTATTTCAATATAACAACATTTCCGATCATTATATGTAGTATATCACGTAACTGGATTTCATATTGTTTTTCTGTTCAATGGACAATTGTGTTGTGCCCTGCTAAGAAAAAAAAGAATAATTAGTTATTCTCTTGCAAAGATGAATGTGTGTTTACTGTGTGCAATACATTAGGGGGTGGACACCACGTCAGATCTGGGGCTGTGAAGACGAAATGCAATTACACCTTATGTGTGCTGCAATGCATCACGTGATGGAGAACATTAAAGCTCAATATATAATTACAACAGGACCTTAACAATGCTCTCTCTCTCTCTCACACACACTCACACACACACAAATTCCATTTTTTTAAATTCCTTAGGATAGTATGCTCTTTCAGTAATGAAAGAGTAATTCACAGTTAGAGACCCTGTATAGATATATAACATCTAATAACTAACTTCAGTAGATGTAAAAGCTGATGCGCTGGCTTAAGAATGTGTTCTTTTATCTAAGTGTGGCAATTTAGAGAAAGCCCTTTAGCTCAAAAGCGTTCAGTTCTTTTATTTAATCCTATCCCCTGAGGAATATTATAGACCTCCTGCGAAGCCCTTACCCGCATTCCTCTACCTAGTTTAGCGCTCGGGCTATTGATTTTCCCATTAAGGGCTAACGCTAACCCCTGAGTAACCAGCCTATGTATTGCAGTGTGAAGTCTGTATTGAACAGTTGCTATCCAGGGACCCTAATCAATGAGCTCTACGTTATGCAATATTATTTACATGACTCAAGCCTTCCATCTTTTGGTGTAATCATGGCTTTGCTTTCTTCTTGTGTATCTCCCGTGCTAACAGGTGGGGTCGTGATGGTTGGCAGCTGTAGCCTCCGGTATGGACAGCGGTGAAGGAGGGGATGGAGGGGGAGGAGAGGAGCGTGAGTCTGACCTCGGTCCCCAGGGGTTATCTGCTCCTCTGCGGTCTCGGGCAGCCATTCCTGAGCAAGGGTCACACGCTCATACCTCAGTCATGGCCCCTGCCAAAGAGTCCCTGACCCCCTCGCCACAAGGGGCAGAGGAGGTCCAGGGAGATGAGCAGGCTGAAGCAGGACTGAAGGGTAACCAGAGGGAGGGATGTTTGTCAGGGGAAAGAAGGAAAGAAGAGGAGGTGCACTTAGGTGTGGAAGAGGTGTCAGTTACAGGCAGCGGAGGCCAAGAGGAGGAGGAGGCCATCTCAAACCAAAGCCAAAATAAATCCAAATGTTCTTTATTACCTCAACAGAGCCAGCACTGCTCTTCTTCCAGCACTGCACAGGCCAGTGGCACACTCAACAGCAAAATAGTCCCTACCCCTTCCTCCTCTCCAAAGCCCGCTCCTACACTCTCCGCCTCTCCAAAGCACTTCACATGTTCGTCCTCCTCGTCTGCTCTGCATCCCGACGCAGAGGTAACAGATATTAATGGAGATCAGGGCTGGATTTCTGGGTTTCCTCAGAGCTTTAAATCCCAGCAGTCAAGTGCGGCATTTCTAGAACTGGCAGGTATGGGACCTGCCAGTATACCCACTGCTGAGGACGGAGGGCCGCAAGGGGTTCCTCACTCTTCCGTTACCAATGGAAATGGTGCCAAAGCTCCAGAACCAAATGACAGTCAACCAGAGACAGAGGTGGATGATGAAAGAGAAAAGGAGGATCTAAAAGACGAAGCTGTACCTAAAAACCTCAACCAAGACCTCTCACCAAATTCACTGACGAGTCACATGACCATAATGCACTCACGCAATTCATGCAAGACACTAAAATGCCCGAAGTGTAACTGGCACTATAAATCCCAGCACACACTCCAAGTCCACATGAAAGAAAAACACCCAGAAACCGGAGGTCAGTGTGTGTGTGGAGCCTCCGGTGGCAAATGTGTCTGTGGGGGGGCAACTCGAGGGGTGTGCACATACTGCAGTTCAGGGAAGCCTCATCCTCGCCTGGCCCGTGGCGAGACTTATGCCTGCGGCTATAAGCCCTATCGCTGTGAGGTGTGCGACTATGCCACTTCCTCCAAAGGGAATTTGAGCATACACATGCAGTCAGACAAGCACCTGAACAACGTCCAAAATGGGGGAAGCACAAACGGTCATGTGCAAGCCAGCATCAGCAGCACCCCTAGTGGACACACAGTGGACGAGCAGGCGTACAAACTTCCACTGGCTCTCCACACTCCTGCCATCCAGCCAGCTAAGATCACATCGGCAGTGCACTCACACTCACATGGTGGCAAACGTTGGCGTTGTGATGTTTGTGATTATGAGACCAGCATTGCTCGCAACCTGCGTATTCACACCACCAGCGAGAAGCACACACACAACATGCTGCGGCTCCAGAGAGGATACTACCTGTCTCAGTGCAGAGGGCTGGCCCAACCACTCAAACATCTGCAGAACACCGGTATGAAGCAGCTCTTTATTCTTACATCACTGACATGTGCAGTGGTTAACTCTCTGTTTGTTGTGCAGGTGGAGAGCTCTCATTAAGCATGCGCCTAAGTCAGCAGGTTCCAGAAGCGTCTGTAACTCTAGGGTCAGCTCTGACTCCATCCCCATCACCTTCGCCCTCGCCCCCTCCAGTCGCCCCTCTGTCCCCTTCAGGAGCCCTCACTCTCTGTGTTTTCCAGTGTTTGATATGCTCCAGCTTCTCCTCTGACAGCCTGGAGAATGTGGAGCAGCACCTGAACAGCCCTCGCACTCTGCCACAGTCTGAATGGTGCTCTCTAGTTGCTGGGGGATGCCACTGCAGGCTGTGCGGTTACACCACCCCGCTGAGGGCCAACTTCTCCCTGCACTGCCAGACTGACCGACACCGCACCAGGTACCAGCTGGCAGCCCATGTGCAGGAAGGTGGAGACAGGGGTCAGGAAGGTGCTGCCCTGATTGCTAAGGGAAACCCCGTCCAACTGCGATGCAATCTGTGCGACTATGTAAGCAGCAGCCTGGAGAAGCTCCGTGGGCACTCGCTCAGTGCACAACATAAAGCTGGCATCCGCGTCTACAGAGTATGTACACAAAAACTGCAAGACATTTTTTTTTTGTGGGATTGGGGGTTTAGATCTCTGTAACAGTGACAATAGCATTTCCTTTATTAGATCCAAAATATTAGATCTAATTGAATTAAAAAAAACTAACAAATTGTATATTAATTATGAAAATAAATATATATTAAAAAAGGCTTGTTACCATACATAAACAAGCAGAACACAATAATCTACCTCCCTTGTTTTGTACCAGGGCTTACCAAAACATCAACCAGGTTTAAAAAAGGAATTCAGTTAATCAGAGAAAAAAAAGTGACATTCTTAAGAAGAAGAAGGTCCTTTATTCGTCCCACAATGGGGAAATTTCAGTTTGACAAGTTAACACACTGTGTTTCAGGTTAACACACTTAAATACTTGGTTGATGGGCCACTCACTGAATAAGATTGGAGTTTGGGGGTTTTTACATAAATAAATGTACTTTTTAGTACCTATTTTACATCTATCACAGAATACTATACAATGACCATTAACACCAGTCAATTTCTTTCAGTTTTTGCAGCAGTATGACAGTGAGGTTGACGAAGGCTCGTGGCTCTTCTATTGTCTCCTATGCAACCACTCTTGCTCATCTAAAATTCAAGTACTCAAACACAGTCAAACCCCAACCCATCAGCAGAGGGAAGGGCTGATCCAGCTGCAGCCAATGGGGGGTGAAGAGCTAGCAGCCATTTTCACCATCAGGAAAAACACTGAGGGAGTCACAGGTAAGACGCTCAGCCACACAGTGAGAAAGGATTTGTTCTGGCATGTGTTTGATGACATCCTGACAGCGGCCCAGGGATTAAGATGAAAAGAGTGGGAACATGAGTAATGGCTGTTGCTCAAATATTGATCAGGCAAATTGATTAGTCGATATACATCCTTGTTATATCCCCAATCACCCCTGACAACAGCTAACTAGCACCTGCTAATCAATGGGCCAAGACAAATCCCCTAGATATACATGGTGGGGACCGAGTTGACTAAGACGTCTGAAATAAATTGCTCTTTTCAAAATATATTCAGCAGGGCTTTAAACTAACAGTTTAAAGAAAGTCTTCCATTTCATTTGTGTTGTTTAAGACTTATTAAGACGGTCATGTTACCACTAGCCTACTTCTTAAGAGAAGTTAATAGAGAATCAATAGTTGATCAATAAAGGCCAGTGAGTGTGGTCTGAGACACTAGGCTGACAGAGGGAGATCGTTAGAAAGGATGTATATTAAGACACAGTGCATAACATAACTTTGTTTTAACCCCCAGAAGAGCCCAGCGATGACATTAACAATACCAGTGAGCTTCACATGGGTCTTCTGGACCAAACCAAAGACACAAGCAACACGGGGTCAAAGATGATTTCAGTAGAGAGGGGTAAGTATAGCATATGTATTGAAAAAACATATTTATTTCGACTCTATAAACTGCATTTTCAGCACAACATAATAAAGTATGCATATTTGTTTATTTTGTTTTTTTCTAATGTTTAGAAAATGGGAGAAAAGAACTGGAAAAGGGAGAGTTGAAGCGCTTATTCTCTGAATGCATAGAAATCGACAATACCATCTCAAACAAACGGCCCAAAATTCACCAGCAAAAAGAAAACCAGCAGGTAAGCTTTCAACCGTTAATATACTAAATGTATTTGTTTAGTTTGATTTAAAGGCATTTAAATCAAAATCTCTAATTTAACTTGTGTTTGTTCTCTTCAGACTGTCCAGTGCCCCTTGTGCCAGCTCCCAGTCCCTTACGTGACCATTCGCCATCACCTCACTCATGTGCACAGTGTGGCACAGGACTGTGTTGACAAGCTCATCAGTACTGTAAGTCAACTCAAGCTTTTCGCTGTATTCGCGTTTGGCTGAATGCAAAACAGAAAATCAGAAGCCCAAGCAGTGGGGGATGGGGGCAAATTAAATGTTGGGAGACAATTCCATTAAGAAGGCACCAGAGAGAAAGGCCTGGCTTTTTTTAATGCATGTTTAAGTAGCTCCCCGCTATCATCTTTGATGCAGCCGTCCGTTTGGTGTTGGTGTGTGTGCACGCATGTGTGTGCTCTCCTTAGAGTTGAGGAGAGAGGGTTTGACTGAGCGAGTGAGGGAAAAAGCCAGTCTTTCTATAATGCATGTTTAAGTAGCCTTCTATTACCAGAAGTGCAGTCAAGCTAAAAAGCCCCCCCTCTTATGCTTTTTACTATGTCTCTCCTACTAACAAAGACTGGTCATCTATCCACATCAGCGTCCTCCATCTCGCTGGCCCGTATGCTAAGTGGCCTTTGTCTCTCGCGCTCTTCGCCTCCACTTCACTGACTGCTTTTCACCCTTTTCCTCCCCTCCAATGCCCCCTTCTTCCTCCCCCCTCTAGCTCTTCCTATCATTTCTATTTTGCAACCCACAGTCCTGAAGCCCCTCCCTGTCCAGTCTTACTCCTCGCCACCCCTCCTGGTTTCTTATGCCATACCCCTCCCATACTCATTCCCCCATCTCTCCAATGCATTTTTTTTTTAATTCACTGCCCCTTATGTCCTCCTCCCTCCCTCCCTCCGCTCCTTTTTCATATTGGATCCCCTCCCCACCCACCACCATGGTCCTGCCGCCCCTCACTCTCTCTGATAGTAATTGAGGTTCATTAATTCAGACTGAGGTGATGATGGCCATTATGTACCTTGCTTTCCAATTACGCTCTCTAGATTAAGCCTGACCTTCAGTTTTCTCTGCAGCGTGCACGTGGATGACTGTGTGTGCACGTTCTCATTCGTTCTTATGAAAATGTTCGTAAAAAAACTCTTGTCATGTAAATCTCATCTTTAGCCGCCTGTCCCTTTCCTTAGGCGAGCTAGTTGTTCGTGTGGATATAGCGTTTACTCCAAGTGCTTGAAGCTACCAAGATGTAGGGTTTCTATAAGAAGAGAATGATTTTAAATAAATTAATTATTTAGCTCAGTAAAGTTTTATTAAACCCTTGGGGTATGTTGGAGGGTGTCGCAGGAAATGGTAGTCCCACATATCACCACAATATACACTTATTACCACATTTATGCATTTTTGTAGCTTCATATTAGGCTGTAGTGGCAGGTGCAAGATGTACATTACAAATTCACACTTTAATCTTTTATTGGCAAAGCAAACAAGCTCTCACTGTTTATAAGTCGGCATGTTTGCTGTACAAGGCAATATGTTTTATTCAGGTATTTGAATTAAGAAAATATTGAATGACTAATGTTTTCCCTCTTCTAGGTAACGCCACCAGTAGAACAACCTCCGCCTCACGCAAAGGTGGATGCTTCACCCGCCTCTAGTGCAGATGAAGACGAAATGAAAAATGGGAAGACTAGTAATGCAAAGACTGCGGATGCTATGACTTCTGCTGATGCACAGAAAAATGGTTGGTATATAAGAAAGCATGGGAAAAGCACAATAATTCATAACCTGCGATGAATATTTCAATGCCGTACTATTGGGAATGGAACAATATGATAACCGTGACCAAACATACCACAAATTACAAAATAATATGGATTTGTGTAATTTATGAGGATTAATAAAAATGGGACTATGAAATGTCAGACAATAACTGTGGATAAGTAGGAAATCAGTATCTATATACAGGTACACACTCAATTAAAGACTTCCAACCATACCATCCTGGTTAGTAACTTTATTTAAAAATATTCTAAAATATTTCAGAATGTGTTTTAGGGGAGTCCTAACTGCACTGCAGAAGACAGTGGGGTCTAATTGTTAGTATGTAAATAAAGCAAGTCAATACCATAAGTAACCTCTTCTTAACAATAAAAAAATATGTTATAGAAAATACGGCATACCCTAATTTTTTTTATTTATTTTAACTTTTTTTTTTTTTTTTTTACCAGGAAAGTCCTATTGAGATTAAACTCTTTTTCAAGGGAGTCCTGGAAAATACCAATAATCTGTTCATCCCTATTTACCATTATGGTTATAGTATTCTCCGGGTACTTTGAATTATGACTTAATATAATTTTTGGATTTGGAGAAGCTATAGGATTAAATATGATGTGCTAATATAATTGGATCTAATAAATTAATAATAATATAGTATTTCAATCAATGACCGGGACGATTAATATTGCTGAAACCAGATTCTAAAAATCAGCCTTTGATTCAAGCTATTCTATTTTTGTTAAGTTTTGTTGTGGTCTATATTATATTTTTGTCACTTTATTTTTGTATAATTTAGACATTTTAAAGTAAATGTTTTTTGCAGTAGTACACTCAGTAAATGTTTAACATGTGTATATTTCAGGCATGTCTAAAGAAACCACTGAAAGTGAAGTTGCCGCACCCAAAGATGTCACAGCTCTGCTCACCCCACCTCTAGAGGACCACACGACTCACCCCTCCAACGGCAAAGTGGCTCCTCAGTCCCCCTCCTCTCCGCCTACGTCTCCATCCAGCGACCCCACTCCTCTCACTGATCGCCATGGTTACCGTTTTCGCTGCAGCAGGTGCAGCCTAGCGTTTCCTACTCAAGAGAAGCTGCAGCTACACTGGCAATACCATGCCATGAGGGCGGCGACAGAGTGTCCCTTGTGCTCCAGACAATGTCGCAGCCAGGAGGCCCTACAGCGACATATGCAGAACACACACTCCGGGCAACAGCTGGACAACTTGCAGGGGCAGAACACACATTTACTGCCCCATACCGCGCACTACATGGAGCATAACAAGAGCGCCTTTCAGCAGGATTTCAGCCTGTCACCTCAAATTGGACAAGAAGCAGGAGAGGGCGAGGATGAGGAAATGGAGGAAGAGGAAGCTTTAGAAAATGAGAAAAAACAGCACTTAAAAGAAATAGTGAGCGAAGGAGAAGAAGGTTTGACTGATACAGAGAAACATGAGGAGACTATAACTGAGCCCACTTCTAACTCTATTCTCAGAAAGAGTTCCAACCCCACCTTAGACCGCTACTTAGATCCATCCCGACCATACAAATGCACAATATGTTCAGAGTCCTTCACTCAGAAAACCATTTTATTGGTGCACTTTAACTCTGTATCTCACCTCCACCGGGCCAGACGAGCACTTCAAGACTCCAATGCAGGCAGTAATACTACTACTGAGGCCCCTCATGCACCAGATCCTAGGCCCTACCGCTGCAAACTATGTGGAGTTGGCTACAGCCAGAGTTCAACACTAGACATACATCTTCGCTCTGTTCTTCACCAAACCAGAGCTCGAGCGGCCCAAAACACCTCTGCAAATACACCTACATCAATGTCCACTACTCATGGTAAGGAAGAACCATCTAAGGGTTCAACTTTAACAAGGGGACCAGATGCCGTAAGCTCCTCCTCTTCATTACTAGGTGACAGTTTAGCTGCTGAAGCCCAGTCACCTCTTATTAATTCGGAATGTCAGCAGGCTAAGAAGAGAGTAGCAGAGCTACTAGCATCAAGGAACCAACTAATGTTATTACAGCAGCAGCAGATAGCCCAAGCTCAGGCCCAAGCTCACTTACAGCAGCAAACTGCACTACTCCAGTCTCAAGTGATGCATCATCTGCCTATGGGAGTAGATAATCTCCTTAAGCATCACTTTCCTGTGACTGCAGATAACTTGCTCTCTCTGCAGCAACAGCTACTCTTGCCCTTTTACTTAGCTGGAGACATGAAACTTAACCCTGAACTTGTAGGCAAAATCCCTGACCTCAGCCAATTTGATATTACTAACTCCATATTAAGAGAAAGTAGTAAGAAGATGGAGTCAAATGAATCTCCCCAAACTGAAAAACACAGCCAAAAGGTCATCTCAGATGAGACTATGTACCGACAAAATGTAAAGTCTGATGCTAAAATTGAAGAGAGTAGCAGTGACCCCACTTTTGACAAGACAAAAAAAGAACCAAGAATTTCTGAGGTAGATAAAGGGGAAGTGCCCCTTCCTCCAGTGCAAAATGAGAGCCAAAAACGAGAAGTAAATGTATCTCCTATTAATCTCCTCGGACAGCAGTGCCCTCCTCCCAGAGTCCCCTACGCTGCTGTAAATGGCGAGCCTCTGAGAGCTCTACTGCAGAGCTATGGGTATGAGCTTGCGCTGCAATACATACAAAGTAGACACAGAAACCAGCAGCAAAGTCAGATCATTCAAGACAAGCAAACGTGTTCAGAACAATTGAAACAGGAACATGACAATGTAACTGAGGAACAAAATGGAGAGTCAGTGGCTAGCAATAAAGTGGACAATAATGAAATAGAGACAAGAAGCTTCCCTTTGGAGATTGAAGAAAATAAACAGGAAGACAAAAAGGAAACAAAGACATGCTGTGCTGATGGGAAAAAATGTAAGGATTGTGGAAAACTATTTTCAGATGCTCTTATTCTGAAAAGCCATCAAGAATATATTCATAGAATGCTATTCCCCACATCTGCCCTGGAGAAATTTTCTAAAGAGTATAGATCTCAATATGACCAGATGTTTCCCATAACACAATCTAAATCTACAGAAAGTTCAGCTGTAGCTACCACAGGCACAGCAAAGTCATCAAATGAAGAGCCAGAATCTGTCGCAGAAGAAGGACAAATTAAATCCTGTGCATCCTCAGAGTCATCTGCCGTGTCTGAACCTGCAAAACAAAACAGCACATCACATCCTGATGAGAAAACATCGACTGCTTTTGTTTCCCCACCATCTCCAAAAGCTCCTGTGCCATGCCAACAAGAAGAAACTTCAAAACCAAGCACTTCTGGGACAACCGAGGCAAAGGCGGTCCCACTCTCATTACCTAACTTACCAATGCTCCCCTTATCAATGCCTCAACTTCCGTTACCGCCCTTACCTTTGTCCAATCTTCCGATGCCAACTATCCCCTTCTCCATGGAGTTGCCACTTCTTTCCCCAGTTGTCATGCAGTCGGTTGCCCTGCAGTCCCAACAATGGCTTGATTCAAATGCAAACCAAGATCTAGCAAAGCTGTACCAGTCCCATCTAAACTCAGCACTTTTGGGGCAGCAGCCACAGTCCAGCCCTGCATTATTAGCTCAGCAGCCCCCTCTGAGCCCAGCTTTACTTACACAGTCTCCACAGCTCAACACACCACTATTAGGTCAGGCATCACAGCCGAGCCCAATCCCAGCAGGGCAGCAACCCCAAATGAGCCCATCAATACTTGAACAGGGTAAACGAACCCGGACAAGGATCTCTGAAGAGCAGCTTGCAATTCTGAGGAAACACTTTGATATTAACAGCCTCCCAAGCGATGAAGAGATCAGCAAAATGTCTGCCACGTCTGGTCTGCCACACAAAGTCATCAAACATTGGTTCCGCAACACTCTGTTTAAAGAAAGACAGAGAGACAAAGACTCCCCTTACAATTTTAATAACCCCCCAACCACAGCTTTAGAAGAAAGCAGAGAGGAAGAGGCGCAGAGCCAGTCTTTATCAGTATCTCCATCGACAGTGACAACAGCTCTCACTTCTGCAGCCACTCATCAGCAGCCTATGGAGCTCCAAAGAGAACTCCATCGGGGCCGACGCTCTTCTCGAACCCGCTTCACAGAGCAACAACTTGAGACCCTTCAGGGTGTGTTTGAGGCTACTCCTTACCCCAGAGAGGAAGAATATGAAAGGCTATCTGCTCTGTTGTCTTTGCCTAATCGAGTCATTGTGGTATGGTTCCAGAATGCAAGACAGAGAGCCCGCAAGAATCAAGACAGGGGTAATGACGAAAACTTTGGAGGGGAGATTAAGAGCCACTTTGACAACATCCGCACACAGAGTAATGGCATCAGTACAAACAATGATGAAGAGGAGACTAGGTGTCTCAATGGACAAGAGGATAGTCATAATGAAAACTCAATGGATTTGACTTACGAATACTATACAAACCCAGACTCACCAACTCCTGAGAATTCTGCTAATGCTGGGGAACCACTTAACAAGATACAAGATGATAAAGTGCATTCAGCTCATGATGGCAAGACAAAAAAGACTGCTGATGAGGGTGTCAAAAACACTGATGACATGAACACTGTAATTCAAGAAAAGGGTGAAGAAACTAAAGATAAGGAAGTGACATGTTCTTCCCAAATAGCACCTGTGCCTGACTTTGGAAAAGAGAGTTCAAATATTACAACAGTTGAAAAAACTAGTTTTACTAAATCATCTGAAATTGAGAATAAGGACTCAAGCTTGCATGCTGAAGCGAAGCAACAAATTACTTCCCAGCCTCTCCCCACATCACAGTTTCAATGTACTTTCTGTCCAATGTCTATGCCATCCTTCCAACTGTGGCAAGAGCACCAAACTAGGCACCTGCTGGCAGCTCAGTCCCAAGTTCAGCTCCTCCACTCTGGCTTTACAGACCGAATGCCTTACATGATGCTCCATCCGAACCACACCTTAATGGCCAACCAAATGCTTTCAGGCACCATGTCTCAGTTACACCCAAATGCTGCTCACCCAATGATGTCACATTTGAACAGCTTGCAAATAAAGAATACTTTGCCTGATCACTCTGGGAGTCTTTCACAAAATGCTCTCACAACAATGAAACATAATTCAAAGGGTGATGTTAACTTTGAATCGCAAAGAGGTGGCAAAGACATGGACGAGGAACACAGGCGAGACAAGCGGCAGAGAACAACCATCACCCCAGAACAATTGGAGGTGTTGTACCAGCGCTACAGCATGGACTCAAACCCCACCAGAGGAGTCCTGGAAAGCATTGCTCGAGATGTGGGCCTTACAAGACGTGTTGTTCAGGTAAATTATATTACTCTTAAAAAACAATTATTATAATAAAAGGCACACACTTTTTATCATGAAACAATGCAATGTAACATTGGTCAAACAGGTACAAAGTTTTGTTTTATACAGCTATTTTATTGATAATTGAATTTATTTTGTTCACCTGTTTTTAAACAAACATATGTTTTATATGTGTGCCCAGACAATAGGTTAACATGCACAAATCATATTTGACCTTTTATGAACAAAAGTTTGAGTTATTTTTGATCATAAATACAAAGGACAATATTTCCAAATTATGTTACTCTTTTCAACCAGATAATCTAATCAGAGAGCAGAATAAGACTCTCATTTGGGATTGGCCCCATCGTTTTTTAATGACAAAATTCGTAAACAAAAAATAGCACCACAAAAATGAAACCAGATATGAAAATAACTAGTCGTATGGACGACACAGGGATTGTAATTGTGCTAAATGTGGTTTGCATCAGTTGTCAGCTCTTAAAAGCTTCATGTGTCACAGGAATCTGGTAACAAAAGTTGGATTGTAATTGTCCTTTTAAGCTTTGATTTGGTGGAAAAGTACTCTAATCATTTGACGTGTGGGCAAGGGCTCTATCAATACAGCTTCATCAAGTATTGGTTGCTTAAAAATATTAAATTTTTCAAATAATGTCATTACAGGTCTGGTTCCAGAATACAAGAGCCAGAGAAAGGAAAGGACAGTTCCGGTCAATGGGTCCAGGATCCACCTTCAATTTGGGTTTAAACCACTTACGCTGCCCGTTTTGTAGAGCCCTCTTCAAAGTAAAGAGCGCCTTAGATGCCCATATGCGATCTCGACACTGGGCTGAAGTGGAAAGAGCAGGCTTTAACATGTCAATAAGCAATGGATCCAACGGACAAATGGGTACATCCTCAGTCATTGAAAGACCTGGCCCATCGATCTCCTCCAGCCATCTCACACACCTCGGTTATCAAGTGAACAAAGAGACAAATGCCAGAGCCGCAATGTCATCCATGTCCATAACAACAGATCTCAACAACCCAGATGAGGATGACGACTATGAGGAAGAAGAGGATGAGTACACGTGTGAGGAGAGCTCCAGTATGGCCGACCTGGCATCTTCCAGTCCGGAGGGATCTGGGGGGCCGAGTTCTGATTGGGGTGAGACACCAAATTTGCAGCAGAACTACCAACATTCACAACAGCAGCGCCAAAGGACGCAGATGAGCCACTTTCAGATTCTCCAGCTTCGAGACTTCTACAGGACCCATCGAACACCCAACCGACAGAAGTGCGAGGCGCTTGGTCAGGAACTTGGACTGCCCCACCGGGTTGTGCAGGTAACAGAGATAACTTGCCATTAAATGATTTTTGGAGATGAGGAATGTCTAGTATATTTCAAATTTTTTCACAATAGTAAATAATATTAGGCCGCAAAACAATTAGATGTTTTTGTCAATCTTTGTCAATACTCACTGTATTACATAAAAACATCTCATTGTTTCGCAATGAGATGTTGCTCATCTTGGCTTCTAAAAAATTTGGCAGCCATCCATTGGGTATTTTCTTTTTGACTCACATAATCACACACAACATGTAGACGTAGGTCTATTTTAACTGGTTTATTGAAGAAAAAACATTTACATCTATAACCTGTGCATGCCTGCAGTCAAAAACCATGTAGGTCACCCTCATTACACTCGTTCCCCTCACCTGTCCAATTTACATGATTACTTACTTTGTCCCACCCTCTATAGCTCTAAATACATAATATTAGAATTGGCATTTTAACAATAAAAGAAGTAAAAGATTGATAAATGTTTTTAAATGATTATTTTACATTTTTTTGACATTTGAATGCTAACTTAAGTATGGTTCTAATACTCACCTGAATGTACCAAACTGACAACAATGGTTGCAAGTCCTGTTAAATTATACTTCACCAGAAGACTTTCATATTGTGTCTTTTTCAGGTGTGGTTCCAGAACGCGCGGGCAAAAGAGAAGAGAGCCCGCAGCATGAGTTCGGACTCTGTGGAGCGAGAGGCAGATCTCAGCGCGGGGGCCGGGGAGCGGGATCGAGCCTGAGATGTCTCCTACCCCGGATTCCTCCAGTGGTCTCCTTTACTCCTTTAAACCCTTCTGCACTTAATGTTCACCCGCTACCATAATTGTCCACCTTGCTGCCAACCTGAACACCCCAAAGATCCAGAGCCATAGCGGCCCAAAGATAAACTCCTCAATTTGAATTGGAGAGTCCAAACCAAGTCTTCGCTACCATTAATTAACACATATCCATTGTACTTTAACCCATTACTGGTCTGTCCTTCAGTGTTAAAATAGCTTCTATTACAACCAAACGCCATCTTGAAAAAAATAACCAGATGCCACAGAGGCCAAAGAGCATTCTCCAAGTACGTGACCTCACTGCCCAGCGAGACCTGCAGTCTACCTCTCAGTCTGCATGCCAGACTCATATTGGGCCCTCCACCAGACAGTGCTAGATGACTCGTTGTGTAGCATGTAGCGCCAGTCTACACAAACAATTGTCAAAGAGATTTTAGTGTAAATAGTCTTCTCCAAAAGATAAACTTGAAAAAAGTCAAAGGACAAAAAGAAGTTGAAAAAAAACAAATAATATCTTAGATGGCGATATTTGCATAGAGCTTTTGTAAAGACTGACTCAGATTCCAAAGCTCATAACCAAAATTTTACATGTCTGTGGATTTAGTTTGAACGTGCTTGTTTTTTTCAATAATGAACTGCAGAGCTGACGTCTGTAAGGTGAAAGGATGGGACCTGCTGCTGGCTTAGGTATTTATCTGTAGAAAAGGACTGATACTACGATGCTACCAGCCAGCTTTGCCCTTCCACAAGCCAATGATGAGTCTTCTGTTGTACACCTTCTATGTTCCTTTAGTGGATAACATCCCAAATAGCACAGAAAGCAAAAGGCCAGTTTGTCCTCAGCAGGGCAAACTATTTTTATAGCACTCAACCATTAATACTGTATATGGAAACTTTAACCAAACTCAAATTGACATTGTATGTGTTTAGTAATAGTTTCTTAATATAAAATGGATCAAGATAAACTGTCTTGCTTCGATATTCTAATGTCATGGTTATGAAAAAGACAGCTTTGATATGTTCTGGTGAGGTGACATAACTCCCTCACCACCCTATTTGAATAATACCAATGGCTTTCCAATGTTATGTGATTAATGTAAAGCTTTCTATGCTCAGGTTAACAGCTCAACGTCGCTTCACTTTCAATGTGACTTCGAAACCACACCTTAAAAACAAAAGTGCATGGTTAAGTATTAAAAACTTTTTCCAAAAAAGGCCTGCATTTCAAAGATCTGAGCTTTTCACACTGAGTAATAGATTGTTACATATTAAAACTAAAGTGTTTAATGATGTGAGGGGTAAATGTACAGTATTTAGCTTTTGTATGGCTGACTCAAGACTTAATTGGATGTTTGAGACTTGGCTCCCTTTGCTGTTTACAGTTTAGGGAGCTTCTGCGCAAAGGTGAAAAACAAACCAACTTTGGTTACTGATGTTATTTTTGTAAACTTAATTTATTCTTCTCCCAACCTGCCTTTTTCTGTTTACTCTTTAACTTTACTACTGTGTTCATTTGCAACTTATTCTGACTGTAATAATATAACAATAATAGCTAAACAATAATTAATGCTTTAAAACAAAAATCCAAAGACAAGATAATACTTTAACCATATGACCTACAAGAATAAGCGCTACTGTTTACTTGACGATGTATTGCTGTTTTTAAAGAAAAGGAAAGGAGTCCCTATATCTAAGCTACTGTTTTTCTGCCTCTCAAAAGCACACTGGTGACTGTAACCAAAATCCCAACCTAGAGCCATGGCAGTCTGTATAGCGGTTAAAGAGTTTTACTTCTCTTGAGAAACTTTATTTTTGTTTGTTTTGAAACCATAGTGTTGAACTTCAGCCCTTAAGGATGTCCAGTTTGCTGCTAATGTACTGTAGTTTCTAATATAATACTGTAGATAGATGCATGCTCTGATCGCTTTACCACTAGGCTTTAATGACTACAAACTGTAATGATACCTGTGATGCTGTTGATAAAACTTGCTCCTGTAATACTATTGGAAAATGGTTATGTGGGGCTCAATTCCAACAAGTTTTTCAGTATCTTAATATTTATAACAAAATGGCTTTTGTAACATTTTTTTTTCATCAAACAGAGGCTTCCAGATTACAGAGTAACCCTACGCTACTGAGGTGTTAACTTCTCAGTGCTTAGAGAGATACTTCATAGCTTTTTGAAGGAGTTTAGCCCCTAGAACCACAGTCTCAGTCTGTTCTGTGTTGTGCAATGTCTAGTCTATTTGTCCATCGAGTTACAATGCAACAATGGGACATCACAACCGACCTCCCAAAGCATGTGGACTGACTTTACTTTGTTATTGTTTTTCTTACTAACCAATGTTTACGTCAATACCAATGAGCTTTCTTCTGTGCAGAAATGTGCATTCCAAATACCGCAAAGACAGTTTTGTATGCTGATTACTTTGGGTTTAATTTCTCTTAACTTCTCTTGACTGTAAGATGTACATATTGGGGTCCTCTATGGTGAAGGGACTCGGTTAACCTTGCTGTAGGTAAAACTATTCTTTTTCTTTTTTTCTGAATATGTTGTTGCCATAGTGATGACCAAAAAGATACCCGTGATGTGCACCTGTCCTAACGTCTTGCTCCAGTGGTTTAGTGTGTCTCTATAACTGTCCCTTGCCCAGTTCTTACCTATGCTGTGTGATACCTCCCTGATCCCTTCCCCAAACTCCACTGAGCTTAATAAAGTCTGCTTTGGTGCATGTTCCAGTCTCATCTCTGACCCAGAAGAAGCCATTTTGTGAATGTTATGGTATGCATGGGATGTGATGCATTTCATATTGGAGGTAGAGTGTGTGTGCGCATGTGTGCATACCTCTGATAAGTGTAAAAGGCGGTGTGTGGAAGGCGTTTGGTGAATGGAGCCTTGACCTCTGGGGTCACTTCATTAATTACATCTGTGACATTCAGCCAGATGAGTTTCCTTTGTGACTAAATGATATGATGAATATTAACGACCTTGGATGAATTACGCTGCTGCTCCTGGTGCTGCTGATGATGATAATGTGTTTTACGACTCTGGGACTAAAATGCACACCACAGCACATTTAGGACACACATTTTCATAATATACAATGTATAGTTTAGACATCGCAGAGATTCTTTATTATTTTGTGTAAAGTGTGACATGCAACAGGGCAAGGCTTAAGTCGAGATATTTTGGAGGATGAGGTAACATCTGCTTCGCATGGAGCCTTTACTATGGCTCTCACAGATAGACTATAACTGCAATCTGGCGTTGGTTGAAATTAATCAAAACTAAAGAAAAATGGTACATGGTACAATCTGCACTATAGAAAAAGCAAAAACAACTTGAGATGGCTCCGAAGCTAATGATAGCCATCTTAGAAAGTCATCCTGATAAAGTGATCCCCCAGCTTTTCCCCTTCTCCCTGTCCTCCCCCTCTTAATCAAATGAATGTTGTGCAGCTGGTGGGGTTGCGGCAAAAAGGGGGTACGAGTGGCCGCGTGGGGGGAGACGGTGGGGCTTTGAGGGATGGCGTGAAATGATTGCCTGCTGGTGAATATGTGTCGCTGGGGGTAGCAGGCTGGAGGAGGGGGTTGGGCCAGGCGGAGGGGGGGTGTAATGTCATTGCCTGCTGGTCTATCTGTAGTGGGGGCTCATTTAGATTTAGATTGGTTATGTGAGGAGAGAGCCGAAAGGCCAGCTCATGTTTATGCATGATTCTGCAAGCACGCTGCTTTGGAGGAGTCAGGCATTAAAGACACAGAGCAGAAATACATTTGCACGTTTAGATACAGCTCTGCTTCTGTGGATAAAGCTTCTGAAGTAGGCCGCTATCTGATACATTTCAATCAGTGTTTGTTTTCTGTTTTCCAGTGGACCGACACAACTATAGTTATGACCATTTCTATTTTATAATTAAGCATTCCCGCAAAACATTTACCATGCATGCACTATCTTATGCAATTAAACATGGACTCCACTCATGTAAGCATTTCCCACATTATACTCAGTCATATGGCGAGTAATCAGTAAATGTCTTCTAAGGAGAGTTTGTTCAGCACTTCATCAGGTATAAAGTGGTTTTTATTTGGAAATGTGGTCCCTATCCATCTTTTAAATGACTTTTTAATGGTTGTCACACCATCCCAATCAATCATGTAGCAGAGTTCGCCTGCAAGCCCAAATACACTCAATTTATAATTCCTACATTCTTCAGGTTCTCTGTAGCTGCTGCCATTATCTACTGTAAATGAGTGGAGGCAAACATTAGAATGCCTTCCTGTTTGATGATCCGAGGGTGCCGCTTGTGATAAGAAGCACTAAACAGCACATTCTGGGTAGTACTGCTTCACAATGTGAATGCACAGTAGCAGTATGTTATATTTGTGCGTGTCTGTTTTGGAAGTCCACTCTTGGGGAGCCCCTGATCCTGCCTCCTGAACCCTAGGCATCCCTCCGACAGCCCCCCTCGAGTACTTTACATCTATAATGAGATACAAATGCGCATCAGCAGGACAGTGTCTATGCCACGCGTCGCTGTGTGAATATTACTCACACTTATTAGCTGGATTATGTTAATCTTTACACTCTCTGCTCACAGACAACAGACTCTCCATGATCCGGGGGTGGTCACGGCACAAAGCGTGTGGCTGACGTGTGTTTGTGTGCACGCCTGTACGTGTGTGTTACTGTGATTGCCATGTTTTCAAATCGATCTGCATGTGAAAGGGCGGTCTAATTACATCACTTATGCAAATGTGTGATGCATGTTTGAATGCACACACATACACCCCTCCAAACACTTGCTACTAAGGTCAAAAAGACGTGGTGTTGGCCCTCACTGGCAAACGCACCACCTGTCAAAATGCAATGGATCCTGACACAATGCATGCAAGTCATAATGGATGTTTTGATCAATCTTTTCCAGATATAGTGTTCAGGTCAAACTCACAGAAGACTTGAGCACTTAGATTGTATTGGAAAATGTCTGCACCTCTATCTAAAGATGAGTGTTTTTCCAGTCTGAAACATTGATAGTATCCCCGTTGGAATGATTGATTGGGTCTGACACATTTTAATTATGCCTAAATTAAATGAATCGGCTGGCAGACTATAAAACATTGCTGTTTAATAACGAGCTCCTCCATTTGCCGTTTTTTTCCCCCGTCTTCATCCAATCCCATTTCAGCTGCCCACACAAAATAACCTCTCTCTGTTTAATGATATGCAAATGAATTTTCATGAACCCCATGATCCCATGCGATGATTAAACTGAGATGACATTAGCTGCCATGCTGCTGCCACTGTCAGTGTTTCCGTCTGCCTTCTTTCTCTTATCCTATCTCAACCATCTCGCCACGTATCCACGACAACGGCCAACTCGTGATACTGAGGGGCTCATTGTCGCTGGTCCCTTATGAGTTTTCTTTGTGCGGAGAAATCTTGCACATCCAGTTTCCTCGAGTGGAAGCAGAGATAGTGAGCATGTGATTAGTTGTAGTAGCAGCAGTGTACACCCAAGACATACATCAGTCCAAAGTATACAGTTTCTGTAGTGCAAAAAGCATCAGAGATCCAGGCATCTTCTACGTTTTACAATTTCCAAGGTCTTCAGCTTGGTCTACATCTGGTTGGAGCTCCGCCCCTGCTGTCGTTTATTGTACTCCATTTGCATAATGAAGCCCAGGCTTAATTAAGATCCCTCCGGAGTCTGAAGCCAAGAAGGATGAGGACGAGGGGAGGGGGGACTCCGGCGTTCCTGTAGCTTATCCGCACGTGTCCAAAGAGGAGGTGCAATTTAAAGAGGGAGAGAAAGCGTTGACGAGCGATTAAATCACTAATTATGATCGGCTGTTAGAATGAGTCTGGGGCTGTTAATTAGATGCAGTTGATGCCCAGACAGTCGCCCGCCCTGGTGGCTGCAACACCCACCCTGACTGGCAAAGGCAAAACACAAGCTGACATATCCTCAGATGATGCCAGCACATCCCTCCTGTTAGCAGTTAGAGCATGGTGAGTGGCTATCCCTTCAAGAACATCCCAGGTGTTTTCGGAAAGAGATGCTCAAAGAGATGCTCATTCTTCACCCACTGTTCTTCATCAGGGATAGTTTTCCTGTTTCAACGCCCTACATTTATCTGATATAGGATTTATATATATTTATATACACAGCAATAGAGCGCATCATTTATCAATACTTTTTTTTTGGACAAATAGTAGATGTCGCTCTTTTTGGCATTGAAACATCGACAACATGATCTCCATTCCAGATATTATGTTAGGTCCACTATTTGGTTATTTTACACTTGCTTGGCGCCAGTGAATATCTTCGTACTGTTTGTTTGGCACGATGCCATCCTTGTTTCCAAATGGTTCCTTCAGGGGTTGCCATCATACAAAACATTTACGACATGTGAAGACTTGAGCTCACCGTATGGAGGGTTTTGTTGGCACATGTGATTAGCTGTTTTGGCAGAGCGCCATCTGTTTCACTGTGCTTTTGCAGCCATTGCCACTATGTCATCGCGACTAAGTGAGTTCCATGAGCACCTCATCTTGGCTTTATCCAAACAAACAAGTGGTGATTAGAAACAAATCCTGAGGGCAGAGGTTCTTGTTTTCAAATCCTCAAAGCTGAAGTTCTGCTGTTCGACAGGTCTCTTTGTGTTTAGTGTTTCCGCTTCGGGTAGAAGACGCTGGCACAATGCCCGCTGGTTGGTACACGCCAAGTGGCATAAGGCGAAAAAACATCCAAAAGTGAAAAAGCGTGATAGCTCTGGCATCCATTTCCTCAGCAGCTACTTCGGACTGGATGTGTTGGCACCTCTTGGACATGCCTGCTTCGTGATGCGCTTCCTCTGTGCTTTCCCTTAGCTAGCTCCGCGGTGCCAGTGAAGGTGGCATCGGGGCAACAGTATGACGCTGCGCTTCTCTTCCTCTTCCATTCTTATTCTCAGCGCCCCTTTCGACCATGCCCATGTCTGCCCCCGCTCAATTGCTGACTGGATGGCACGGTGCCAACCTGCCACCGCCATCGTTCCTATTTGTAGCTCATCTCTTCATTGCCCTTCCCCCGTTTCTGTCTTTTTGTCTCTCTTCCCCTTCGTTAAATTACACATTATGAGTCATTACAATATGTATGTTGAAAATTATGTTTTAATCCTTCATTTCCATGCTCTGTTTGAGACTTTACTGCACCTGAAGGAGTTTGAGTTGTGCCAGCTGAGCAAGTAATTACTAAAGCAGTAAGTTATTCCACAGAGACAAAGGAGAAAAAAGTCAGAGTATGAATGCCTTTGTTGATTTAATTAACATTCACCAGCCCCCAATCATGAACGCCTTTACACTTTCGTGGTGACTTGTTTTGTTCAACACACAAACTAAAGCCTCACAATTGATCTCATCCACAGCAGAAATCGATGAAGTATCATTGACCTCATCTGCCTTACCAATATGACCCAACTCGTCTATTTGTTCGGCTGGAATCAAAAGCCGGCTGTGGTAGTGGGGCTATTAAGCAAATATTCTCATTAGTACACAAAACATAATGAATATGTAAATGATGTGTGTAATTTATGCATGGGCTAAGAGGCTTCCTTTTTTTCTACAGCTCTCTTTGTATACTCTCTATTTACAGCTCACTGACTTACACTTCACACTTGAAATCCCCATTTTAACACTTTTTCAACCAAATCAGGACTATAATGCCAGAGTAGAGAATTCCACTAATTTCATGCATTAAATGAGCTTTATTCTAAATGATAAACACAGAGCTGTAACCAATACATATAGCATCAGATTCTATCCGTTTAAATAACAAGTATGTACAAATGACCAACTTATCGTTTGTCTAATCATGGTAGTGGTTTATTTCAGGCCATTTCTTACTTCAAACGCAGCCAATTGCAAAACATTCAGCATGAAACAAAGACTAAAACTGAGGTGAAATAATTATCTCAAACCAACCACTATTCCCACAACTTACAGCACCAAGCAAAATCAACAAATTACAAGATGAGAAATAAAATAATGGATATTAATTATTTGGTACATAAATTGTGTTTGAAGCAAATAACTCATGTATAGTGTATATCAGGGGTCTCCAACCTTTTTCGATCGGAGAGCCACCTTTATACAACAGAAACAGAGAGTTTTGCGTTTGTAATAATTATGATAAAACATGGAGAACACATGTAAAACACAGTGCAGCAGGTGAGGGAAAGGAGGGTCCTGGACAAACTAACATCTATGCTGGACCATGACTGTCACCCCCTGCAGGACACTCTCTCTGCCCTGGAGAGCAGTTTCAGTGACAGACTAATTCACCCCCGCTGTGTGAAGGAGAGGTTCCGTAGGTCTTTCCTTCCTGCTGCTGTCAGACTGTACAACGAGAATGTGTAACAGGAACTGCTAATCAGTCACTGATAATTCACTCGTAACTTTGTCACTTGTCACTTTACCTGTTATCAGTACTACTGCATTATTACATATCTGATATTTCTGCCTTTCACCAGACACTTTACCTGTTGATATTTTACTGTATTATTACATATCCATCTGATAATTCTCCCATTCAAGTCACTTTACCTGTTGATATTATTTCTGATGTTTATTCTGCTCATATTCATATTCTCATATTCTCCGCGGCTAATGTATAATATGGACATCTGTAAATACTTCCGAACCAAGTGCAATTATAGCCCAGAGTTTATCTCATTTTATTTTATTTTTATCTTAATTTTATTGTCTATTACCTTAAATAATAGACTATGTGATGTGTGCAATCTGAGTGCTCTTATTTCCTTTCTCTGCTGTAATGTGCGCAACGATGACATTGAAATTTCTCCACTTTGAGACTAATAAAGGTTTATCTTATCTTTTCTTATCTTAAAACATACCATAATACTAGTATAATCCTATATTTATAATATATATGTAATGACTCAAATGTATTCATTCAAGATCATGTGTTCTAAATCCTTTGGGGAGCTACCTGAGAGGGGTTGGCAAACGACTGGTACTGTAGCTCCTGAGCTACAGGTCGGAGACCTCTGGTGTATATGTTATTTATGCCTAGTGCTCTGCAACTGCTAATCACATTCAATTTCTTTTAACTGATCTTCCATAAAGATACTCCAACATGTGCCACTTTTTTTTTAGGTCAGATTCCTTCTAAACATTACCCATATTATATGTCATGTTCATGGCTGATCCAGCATGACTCTGACTATGGTGCTTTAGAAATACTTGGGACTCGAAACTCCTCTTTGGTCCCAGAGTGGCCTCTTGAAACAACAAACACTGGAGTGGTGCATTAAACCCACAGTGTGTCTTTGAACAAGGCTGTTTTTTCAAGAGTCTGAAGAGTTAACATTCACACTCCACCACGTTAGCCTTTGTGCCCATTCATGGCTTGTTTCTTAATGTTTGGTCTACAGCCTGTGTTAAACATGTCCCTAATACTGGTGGGGTATTTTTTTCCTCCTGTCTGGCATAAACACCTATACTACCCTGGCTCCCTCTGCAATCACCATAGCAACAAACTACCGTACCCACGTGAGGTGCATAATAAGATGTTCCTGGAGACCGTGAACCATAAAGCAGCGACAAACTAGACACCCACAGCGATGCATGTGAATCAGAAGATAACCACTGAAATGGCAGCCCTCACCTTTTAACAGACGCCATTTTCTCTGTGTACTTATCAACAGGCTAGCATCGGCAGGCACGCTTCGTGATTGGAACGTGCACCGTCTTTCCGCCTCTCTAGACCCTAACAGGTGCTGATGAGCTGCAGTCAATGATTGTAATGAGCTATCGATCAGCGTGGGAAAACAGAGGGGACACAGAGGCTAGAGGGAGGCTGGGGGGAAGCAGGGAACACAAACACTACGGCCAGGGAGAAAAAAAAGTAACTAAATGGAGACAAGCCACCTCAGACAGTCTATCAATAGTCCTTTTAATCAAGTTCTCCTCATTGTTTTGCCTTTATGGGCAAGTCTTTGAAGGTCCATGTATCACAGGGACTAGAGGATTTCCTGATCATTAGAGCCTGAATTTATATCAAAGAGAACAACATCCACCAACATTGCTTTACACGCTATAGGATTACATGCTGAGATATGTTAAGATCTTTGTAATTGTCTTTTCCAGATGCTTGAATTAAAAATGCAATGAGCCTAAGATAGTAGACATTTGTGTCATTTAATGCACCTGCCATCCATAACTAGTTTTAATACACGTACATGCAGTCATATACATACAGTTTTTTTCATGTACTTTACATCTTCTTCTACTGCCTTTTGGTGCACCAGAAGTTCATAACTATTTTTAACGGTTTGTTTTACTGTTATTATTCCATCACACATCCACAGGCTCAGGTTGAACAGAGCTGCTCACGACACGCATATTTTGACTGGCCAGTTTGCCTTTTACCTCTAGTCTGTACATTTCTATTCACTCATTCTCCCACTGTCTGTTTCATGAACACAAACCCTGTCCTCACCTGTGGGCTGGTCCTCAGTCTACTGTTATTGGTATTGGCGGTTCTTTGCCCTTTGAGACTTATTACATTATATTTGGTAATACTGTACACATGTAGTCCTTATTTGAGAGTCAAATTCAAAATATATATTCCATTATTGTCTTTTGTTTAGTTGTGTGTTTGTTTTGTTTAGATAAATACTGTTTATAAAAATAGAACCACTGGATTTATCTGTATTAAGAGTCCAATATTGCAATATATTCATACAGTATATAAATACAGTCATGTTTAAGGGTTAGGGAAAGAGATAGGGTAAGAGGGTTTTTTTAACAATCAGACCTACAGCCAACTCTGTCAGAAAAGCCTCAGGATTGGAACGAAGAACAGATTTCAAAACACAATTACTTGTCACTGATTTAAAGCCAAAGGTATTTACATGTAACAGTGAAAGTCATTTTTGATTGCGTTAAAAATGTAAGGAAAAAATTGACATTCATGAGAGCATGCAGGACCAAATCACATACTCCTACAGCCCAATCTCAGATAAATACGGATTGTTCTGAAAACCATTGAGATTTATATAAAGTGTGTAATTTATGGTTTTTTATAAGCGTTATTTTTATTTATGTATGAACAGTTGAACTATGACAGGAATAAGTCTTTATAACATTCCTCGCCACAGTACTACTTAACCATCACAAATATGCATGTTGTGTAATAGTTGTGATTCAAAATGCGGAAAAAAGGACTCATTATTAGCCACCACCTGGACCTCCTCTCATTTATTTCTTTGTATACAGGTAGAAACTCTCCAAACTATGCTATTCTCAAGGGGTCATAACCGAAACAAAGAGCAATTACAACATTGGACAATGTGTTGTCTTTATCTCTCGCCAACGTTCCTCAACCAAATGACAACTTAATGAATGTTTAGGTTTTCCTCAGAGCATAGCCACTTCTGGTAAAGCAGAGTAAAGCCAAAGTATATTTTTGCGTTCACATCACCACCATGCCAAGATGCCAGTCAAACAGCCCTGACGCAGTATCTTTATTTGCGTTTTTCTTTTTTGTGCCTTCTGCAGGGAATGGGGTAGACAGCTTTAGGGGAGGGGGAGGTGCCTGATGTTTGTCGTGTGTGTTGGCTGGCGTTTCAGATAATGAAATGCAGCGCGGAACAAAGAGCTGGGGGCCCCTATTCTTTCCGCTGCGGCTTCATTTGCGCTGCCATCAGTCTATGATTCTTCCATAGCCTCTTTTTTGTGTACGCACGCGCCTGTGTTTATATTTGTAAGAGTGGATAGTTATGTGCGCGTGTGTAAATGGCCCCTCCTTTCCCTGTTAGTATTCTACATGGCAGATCCCCCTAATGTAATAACGGTGTCTGCATGTCTAATTTACAGCAGGAGAGAGTAAATAGCCTGTGGTTAATTACAGTACTCGCATGTGTGCGTCTACGCATGTGTCCACGGACGCATGGCTTTGTCAAGATGATTTATGAGTTGCAAATAGCTACACCAGTGGCCCGTTTCTCCTCACTTAGTTTTTAATCTGTCCTTCCATTAATTTTCCCGGAGACGTTATTATGGTTTTATAACATGTGCACGAGGATGTGCATGTGAGTTAATGAGACAGAGGTGTGGATATTTTGTAAGCATCCTCTCTAAAACACCTGGGGTTTTACTTACCTTCGTATCTTCCTACCTGCCTCTCTCCTTTACTTACCTTTAACTTAGGCTTTTTCCATTGACGCTGTGTCACTTCTCTCCCATCTGTTTCAGCTTCTTTCACTCATGCTCTTCATTGAAAGCCACAATGAACACACAGATCTGTATTGACAGTACACGGTAGAACATGGAAACAGCGGGTCAATCCGTTTAGCCCAAGGGCCGATACACCAATTCACCAATTTGTCAGTGTTAGTTTGAGAGAGAAAAGCAGCTAATCTCTTCGCTGTGCTCTCTATTGATCACCCACTTAGAATCCACTTCTCTGTCTAAACACTATTGATTCTCTCTCTCCCTCAATCTTTTTCACTTTCTCTCTATTTTCTGTATCGCTCTCAGCACATGCCGTCACTTTCTATGCTTTTTTATAACTTTTACTTCTACTTGGTGGATAAAAGACTCCAAAGTGTATGTGCCCTACCTCACATCTGGTGTCACATTTTTAGATATCAATACCTGACACTCCTCATCCTCAAAAGATAGCTTGAAAAGATATATATCAAAGTGATTTGATTAGAAAACCATCTAATCAGGTGTGCCAGGGTGCTGGAGATTTTACTCTCCTGACTACCAAATCAGGGCACCCTGCTGGGTATATATAAAAGGCAACGCAGGTTTTTATTAAAGAAATTAATTACTTAGCAATCTTCTGCTGGTCTATGATTACAAATTCACTCCTGGGTGCAATTGCTTTGTTTCTCACTTGAAAAAGACAGCATTTGTGCTTAGATGAGGCCTTTGTCAATTTGTCCTTTGGGACCTTGCAGCTTGCCATTAGAAAGTAAGCCAAAGGTGTGACCTAGTCTGGTAACATGTGCTATATTAGGCGCAGAGAGGCGAGTATAAAAAGACAGCAGTAGATGCATGATTTTATGTAAATGTATGCGTTTGCCTGTAACTTCAAAAGCAATTGTTATTCCATGGTATCTGGTATTGTTACATGTGATCTGTTTCTTACACTTGCACACCTCCTAGTGGTTAGAACAAGACATTACATCTGTTACAAAACACCGACACGTGTCTTGTGTAACTTCCAAAATCAGCTGTTATGTTGGGTAAGGAGCGGTGGACATACAGACAATTCTGTACCGGTTCGTGATGGCCCCGTCCTTAGGCAGTACTGAAGACGGGCTGGCCCTGGTGAGGAGACTGCTCAGAGACGTGCTGGTGGGACGGGAGGATCCAGAGGGATTCTTTGCGTTGTGTGTGTCAGCGCTGGGGCACCACGACACCCGCTCACACTTCCACGCCGTGATTCGGCCTTTATCCACGGCTAACCGGGCGCTCCACTCGACACTGACCGCCGTCTATGAGGAATATTTCAGCAAGGTAAACATTTACATATTCTGTGTTGTACGAGCGTATGATGGCTCAAACATGGAATGAAAACATGATCAAATACATCAGTTAGGTTTAAAATGATCATACAACCAAAGCTATCAAGCCGAGTTTTAATTAACCAATGAAATAATAAGTTATGGGTATATAATCGAACATAAATCAAACTAGTATCAAAACAAGCTCATATCTAAAACAAAAGAAATTGGACATTTCCTAAGAAAATGATTAATATTAATACAAAATTATTCATTCACTTTATACACGGTGGTGGTAATGTATACTACCGTAGCCACAGCTCCCCTGGAACACACTGACAACAAAAGCGAGGCAACCAGTATGTGCCATCTGCCCCATTGACCACCACGAGCCTTTCATGCACACCCCAGACTCATTTTAGGCAATGTGGGTTAAGTGTCTTGCCTAAAGATACAACGACAGTTTGGCACTTTACAGCCGCAGACGACCCACAGTGGCACCTGAGGTCTCCCATCACAGTGCTAAACAGGCCGTATTCTGCTTAGCAGCAGAGGTCTAACAGGCTATGGCTTTCACGTGCAGGTGTAGCCACAAGTGTCAAAATATTTAAAATTGATCAGAAGAACTCGAAGAAACTTGATTATGCAAAGTTAGCGGTCATATCTGCGCAGAGGAGAGTAAACCTAATGTGAGACTGAAGGTGTTAAAGCAGCAAAATCATATGTAATTCCATAATTTAAACATTGTATATCAGCATGCCAAGCAGATGTATCATTTTTAAAAACAAAGTCATATTATTAATGTATGTGTGTTTAGCACATACATTGGCATTGTTAAAAACAATTAGCATAATCAAATAATGAATTTACATTACGCATGTATCTTTACTTACGTTCTATTTGACCATGTTTTGGGTAGCGTTACTAAAGGTTAGCTGAAACATTAGCACGATGGGACTCACTTGTGCAACCCGTTTATCGTATATAAAACACTCGCCTTCATAGAATGACCATAGACATTATAGATCCATGATAGGCATACGCAAATACATGTAATTAACTGTTGCATTAACTTAAATATTACAAATACTGACCATTGCCACTAACATCAACGCAAGACTGCGAACCTCTGGCGCCACCTTTGGGTCGTACAGAGAGGAGACTGGGAGTTGACTTCTTTTAAACATTTAAAATAAGTAATAAGTCATTTTAATCATTAAAGACTATTGGTTATGTAATTACATCTTCTATTCTATTCTATTTATATTTCCAAAAACAAAGATATTTTTGGATTGTATTTTATGAATTTCATGAATTTTCTCACATTTAAATTGCTAAACGAACACATGAACTAATACATAACTAGCTAAATAACTAGCTCTTTTCTCTGACCTTTTTGTAATGATTTTAGATGTTTTTTATGTGGTATTTTTATATAATAATGTATTTCTGTTGGGACAAACAACACAATCTTGTAAAGGTAACATCAGACTAATGCTATATTAATCATATTAGAAAGCATGTTATCTTTTGCTTACATGTACAAAAGAGCCCTTTGAATCTTTATTTGAATCTTCAGGCTGAGAGCTGAGTGGCTGAGTGAGGGTGGGATGTTTCTGCCTGAGTCCAAAAATACATGAATAAGAAAACTGGGGGAAATATTGTTTTGAGAGCAAGAAACTAGTTATATATAATTTTTTTTTTTTTTTACACATGGTTTGAATATTGGGTACCCCAGCTTTAACTGTACAATTTAAATTGATATATAACATAACTGCAATGTGATACAATACCTAAGGCATACACTTAAATGTCTCAATGTAAACATAATAAAACAACCTGTTACTGTATGCTCAAATCCCTATCTCCAATTTACAGACTGAAGATGACGAGCTGCAACTTGCTCTGGCACTTTCACTATTGGAACCAACCAAAGACCAACAACTTGAGGAGGTATCTGTCACGACCACCAAGGACAATAATGAACATTGCTCTGCACCCTCATCTAACCAGGCCATTTGTGAGTCTGGCGAGAGAGAAAAGCGTCCCAAGAAGAGGAGGCAGAAGAGTAAGTCCATGGGGCAACAGGTGGTTGGATTGCCCCCCACACCGTCCTCCCAGCCCCCTGTAATTCTGTGGTTCAGGAGGGACTTGAGACTGTGCGATAACCCGGCCATCGTGCAAGCACTACAGGCCGGTGCTCCGGTCATTCCGGTGTTCATCTGGGCCCCAGCTGAAGAGGAAGGCCCTGGGATCACTGTGGCTATGGGAGGAGCCAGTAAGTACGCAGATGCATGCCTCAAACAAGGCCAACGGTTGAGGCTTTACGACTAAATTGAATCAGAATTTACATTTGAAATGTTGGAAAAAACAATATTTCTAACAGCATTTTCCAGATGTGTGTGCCCTCAAATGTAAGATGCAGAACCTGACATATACGTACATAAAACTGAAAGGGCGATATACTCCATTTGAAGTATAGTAATCAGAAAATTCATGTTATACACTTACATTTTTGTAAATTGCATGTGTAAGATCCATGATCTAGACTAGGGGACTCCAACCTGTAGCGCCTTAGATACCAGTAGCTCGCCAGCCTCTTTCAGGTAGCTCCCCAAAGGATTTATGGATTAACACATGATCCTGAATAGACATTTACTAGAACTACAAAAGGGAGTTGCTCTCTGGCTCTTCTGTTGTATAAAAGTAGCTAAGTTTTCCAATTGATAAAAGTTGGAGACCCCTTATCCAGACCACCTCCAGAATGAAATCATTTGATCCTTGTCTCATTTCCGAGCATCACTGAACCTGGCAATTACAACTATAATCTATATGCAATTGCCACAAAAGTTACAAAATTCTGAATAGATGCTGTTCTTGGTAAACTTGCATCCCACACTTTTGCATAATATTAAAGTATAATATGGATTCAAACTGTTTAGGTAACACTTGATAATAATGCTACATTAATAAATTATTATACATAAATAATAAGGCATCGGTTTTATATCTGGCTTTTTTGAGCTCTCAAAGACTCCTCCCTTGTCATTATTCTTTCACTTCATACACAGTGATGATAAACTACTACTGTAGCCACAGCTGCCCTGGGTCACACTGACAGAAACAAGGCAATCAGTATGTACCATCAGCCCTGCCAATCACCACCAATCATTCACACACACACACACCAGACTTAGTCTTATGTAGGTGAAGTGTCTTGCCTATGTACACAACAAGTTATGCACTTTACAGTCGCAGCCATTCATCATGAATTCATTCATGAAGTATTGTGATTAATTTATAATAATTCATCCAAAAGTTTCTTCATGCCTTCATGAATACAGTTACCTGCTGCAAAGAGTTCACACAGAAATCCTGTTACTTCAGCTTTGTCCTCAAGCGTAGACCACATTTTCCGTATGTTGATTAGGGTTGAAAAGGATTTTCTTGCCTAAAAGATAAGTCTTCATTAGTTTTTATGCAATACCTTTTTGATAACTGATCTATACAAGATCAAATATTACTTTTTAAAATATCTTTTCTTGTTGCTTGTACTCCATTCCTCCCCAACACTGTGTAATCATGCTGATGTTATAAAATGTGGGCCTCTCTCTGTAGGTCGGTTCTGGCTTCACCATGCCCTGTCCTGTCTGCGCTCAGCACTGGAGCGCATTGGGAGCAGCCTTCTCTTCCTCACAGCAGATCAGTCCTCACTGCAGACTTTGCAAAGGCTACTGAAGGACACCGGCGCCAGGACGGTGGTGGCCAACGCCGTGTACGAGCCCTGGCTAAGGCAGAGGGACGAGCTGGTATCATCCAGCCTGCACAGAGACGGAGCAGAGCTCAGGATGTGCCATTCCTACTGCTTGCGAGACCCGTACAGCGTGAGCACCGTGGGGGTGGGGCTTCGAGGTATGCATGGCACAAGTTTGTTTAAATTGAGTCAGACTTGTTAAAAATGTTTTGCCTTATTTCAGAGATTATGAATGATAATGCAACAAATACCACTCGTTGTCAGTAGTTGCCATTTATTGTCCAATAGCAACAGAATCTCCTTCTGACTTTTGACTGACTCCTGATTCTAACTTAAACATCTATGACAACTTGAAGTCTTCTGTGGTAGTTGTTGATGAGGTTCTCTATCCTCTCTTATGCTCATTCTTCTTGGCAAAAAGCCTCCAGTTTCTTTAAATTCCGGGATCTCAAACAAGCATGACCTGCACGTTTGAGATCTCCACAGATTTTATTGACAATAATTAATTATTATTGACAATAAATAATTCATACCCTCCAAAATATGGTCAAGATAGTCAAATCTCTGACTGGGCATGTAAACTATCAAACACAACTATATCAATTTCAGAATCATTTTATTGGAATACATGCAGTAATATATATTTATATATTACTGCATGTATTCCAATACATATATAATATTTTATGAACTGTTGAAATGCAAGGATTGGGTGTGTCTACAGGGATTGGATCTGTGTCCCACTTCGTGAGTTGCTGTACACAGAATCCAGGGCCTCCTCTCGGAGCCCCACTGGACCCGCCCGTGTCTCTGCCCACACCTTCCTTTTGGCCCTCTGCTGAGCTTTTGGACACACTGGAGCTGGCAAAGATGCCCCGTAGAAAGGATGGAACAATTGTATGTATACATTTAACAATATTATATAAGTTAAATAGCCAATATAGTTAACAAGCTCTAATTAATGGTAATGTTTGTATCTTGTAGATTGACTGGGCAGTTAATATTCGTAGCTCTTGGGATTTCAGTGAGGAGGGAGCACATGCCCAGCTGCACGCCTTCCTTCAAGATGGTAGGCCTATTGTGGTATTGGAAGACAGGGTACCTAACATTAGAACCACAAAAGATCACTACATAATAAAAAATTAAGTAACTCCTTCCTCGCTCTCAAAATAGTTTGTTTTCAAATGCATGTATTTTCACACATCACATCTTTAGATCTGCTTTTTCAGACAGAAAAGTGGAAAATAATTCAAACCAATTCAAAGAATGATAAGATAAACCTCATTTTAAGTAACGCTAGCCCAAACATGGTCAAATAGAACGTAAGGAGAGGACCAAAGTCAACACTATTGTCTACTTCTAATTATGGAATTTTAGTCTTTGTGATTTGTATTCAAGTATGATAAAATGTGAATAAATTAGACCACAACATCCTTTCTTTATCTTTTTCAAAAACGCGAAACTTATCTTTTCTATCCTTGGCTGAAAAAGCTGATCTAATTATGTAGCATGGGCAAAAATACTTCCTTGTGAAAAGAAGAAAGAAACAAACTGAGCGGGTGACAAGTTACATAGATTTAATTTCATAGTTCTATAATTTATGACAAAATTAGGTACCCTGGCTTTAAAACAGAAAACATGTAGTCTTTCACAAAATTCTGACAATCTTGTAGTTAACTGAACCCTGTATAGTGGGCACGTTTGCATTAAGTCATTCCTTCTCTGCAGGTGTGTACCGATATGAGAAGGAGTCGAGCAGAGCAGACTCCCCCAACACCAGCAGCCTGTCGCCGTACCTTCACTTTGGACAGCTGAGCCCACGTTGGCTTCTGTGGGACGCCAAAGGGGCAAAATGTCGCCCCCTGAAGTTTCAGCGCAAACTGGCCTGGAGAGACCTGGCCTACTGGCAGCTCAGCCTGTTCCCCGACATGCCCTGGGAATCCCTCAGGCCGCCGTACAAGGTCAGCAGCATTTCACACGCACACACTACATGAGAACCTTGAAGAAAGAAAGGAAAAAGATTGGGAAAAAAATCTTCTTGAGCATATACTGGTAATATAATGTAATATAGAAGTATGCAATTAAAAGTGTATAGGTAAAATCTTATAATTAAAACATCTTGATTCTGCTTCATATTGGTGATGACATGTCTTGATAAACATCCTGATATTGCAATTTTTACAAATAAAATGTATTGATTGGCGATACACGGAATCTGGAATTCTGTGCATCTTCCTCCTGGAGCCACAGCTCAGCTGGTGGCTAAGTAAAATCCGGACTGACCTGTGCAAAGGTTATTCTGGTTATGAACAATGAAAAGGGCTGTGTTTGACCGAGCGGAACAGTGTGTAGCAGAGGGGATCAATCATATCAAGAACCATACTTTCCATTGACGTTCATTGATATTGTCTTTTCTTAAAACTATACGCCGCTTGCATGCATAATGCTAAGGCAAGTACTCTGTATCACAACGTTTTAAAATGGAAAATACTGTAAATGGTTGAATCTTCTCTGGTGATTGCAGGCTTTGTGCTGGAGCACGGAGCGGGAACACCTGAAGGCATGGCAGCGAGGCCGGACAGGGTACCCTTTAGTGGATGCAGCCATGAGGCAGCTGTGGCTGAGCGGCTGGATGAACAACTACATGAGGCATGTGGTGGCCTCCTTCCTCATCGCATACCTGCACCTGCCTTGGCAGGAGGGCTACCGCTGGTTCCAGGTAAGAACAGCTTCCAGACGCTCTCTTTATCTACCATTCAGACAGCTAAAGAGACTTCCAAACCCTCCTCAGGACACGCTGGTGGACTCTGACGTGGCCATAGACGCCATGATGTGGCAGAATGGGGGCATGTGTGGACTGGACCACTGGAACTTTGTGATGCATCCTGTGGATGCAGCCATGACCTGTGATCCCTGTGGCTCGTATGTGAGGCAGTGGTGCCCAGAGCTGATTGAGTTGCCGAACGAGCTCATCCACAAGCCCTGGAAGTGCCCTGCCTCTATACTCAAACGGGCCGGTAAGGACCTTTTCTTTCTTTACATGTCATTTATATGAAGCTATTGACTTTTGCATCTCATGGTTTAGAAGAATAAATTATTCCTTAAGAAAATTTCAACTACCCGTAAATCCCTTATCTGTTGGGGGAAGTATACAGTACCATTCGTTTACAAAAATGTTTTGTTGATTAGTTGACTAATCAATATATTATAAAAATGATTGAAGACATCAATATAAGTGCAACTTGTGTTTCCCAGGCATGGTGCTGGGCCAGACGTATCCTGAGCGCATCGTCACAGACCTAGAGGAGCGCAGGAGCCGCTCTTTGCAAGATGTGGCCCGGGTCCGTCTACAGTTCCCTGAATATGTGGACAAGTCCAGCGGCTGTGACCTGGTCCCTTTACCTCCACGTTTGCTCTCTCAAACCCTGGGACGGCACTCGGATGATGTGCCCAGCGGCAAGGAATTCCTCCTCCCTCTCATCACGCGCATGGAGTTCAAACACCAGCTTGACAAGCCGGACTGCGACTCGACTTCCAACCCCTACAACGCAGTCTTGAAAGGGTACGTGAGCCGGAAGAGGGATGAGACCGTGGCCTTTCTGAACCAGAGGGACTTCACTGCTAGTGTGCTGAACGAGGGCACACAGAGGAGGGAGAGGATGGAGCGCAATCAGCGCAAAATGGAGGGTCTGTCTGAGCCTCACCAGCCCAGGGGGAGAGCCAGACGAACCCCCACGGCTAATGACAAGTTCTCTGTGGTGCCAGGAGGTGTTGTGAAGACACTGAGATAGTGTACAGCTTTAATAAAGCAATTTGCTGACAAAGGACCAGGGTAAAAACTGTTGAGAAGAAAGAAAATATGTTTTACCTAAGTACTGTATTTAAATAGTTTTCTTACGATTGTTTTACTTAAGTCCAGGATCCAAGATCTTTCCATTTTACTTTGCAACAGATGTTTGTCTATATTTATCTAGAGACAGGACCTGGCTCCCAGAATACTATTCTATGAATATAAATGATAATGCATTGTTTATAAATGGCGCACTTAAAGACGCTTCACATGTTATTATTTTTTTACTCCCTTCACGGTAGTGATTAGGGCTGGGCAATAAAACGACAACGATATATATTGCGATAGACACGTGTTCGAAATCAATAGAAAATGGGATCGATTGAATGATAGTTTAACTTCACAAAGACAGGAAGAAAACACAGAAAGTAACGCAGAATCAGAAGCGTGCGGCATTCTGGGGGACGCAGGCAGAGACTTCTCGACCTATCACGGCCAAGCACAAACCGCAAAACATTCTGGAAAATGCAACAACAACAAAAAACGCACCATGCATAGTGTCCATGGATCTATGGATTGTGTTTCAATGCCGTGTCAATGGTTGTGCACGTCCGTGCGAGGAATAGCATGTGTGACGCGGTACAGGCAGTGGGCACACACTCAATGTTTGCGGCAAAAGCTAGTGATAAACTTTTTGCTCTGGAGGCACATGCGGCTATCAGAGCACGAGGACACAAGACACTCAAAAACCAGGATTAAACTAGGACTAACAATGGGGGTCACTGTGCTTGTGAACATATGTTTCCAGCCTGAGTTCTCATTCCCCCGTGACTGCCAACAAGGGCTGCTAACGTGTGTTAGTTGACACTTCAAATGTATTTATTTAGGTTTAAAAAAACAAAACAAAAAAACAATACATTATTTATATCGATCGATTGATATAGTTTTCAGCTATATCACCCAGCCCTAGTGGTGATAAACTACAACAGTAGCCACTGCTACCCTGGGGCAAACTATCAGAAGCAAGGCAACCAGTATGTGCCATCGGCCCCTCCCACCACCACCAGCCATTGCACACACCAGAATCATTCTAGGTAAAGTGTCTTGCCTATTCTCAACATTGTTTGCAGGAAAACATTTTTATATCTTTGTTTGTTTTTAGTGGGGCTTTTGTTTATTTCAGGGTTGTACATATTGACTATTTGACATAGTAGGGCATTAAAAATACAAAAACTGGGTAATATTTACTTGGTACAAAGGTCAGTGACGTGCGTTACAATGTATTTTAACTCCGCCCCTCAGCTCAGCGGTTGGTGTTGGCTGTAATTAAATTAAAGCTGGGTTACCTGACTTGATTGTTTCTTTGATTGTTTGAGTGAGGCTGTACCTCCTTTATGTCCATGATCAGATATGTTCTACTGATTTAATGATGATGAAGATATTAACCACTGATGGGGATGAATATATGTGCCACTGATGATGATTAAGATATATTCCACTGATCTAATGATGATGATAGATTCCACTGATTTAATGGTGATGCTGAAGATATATTCCAATGATGATGAAGAGATATTCCCGTTTATGATGAAAATATATTCCACTGATCTGTTGATGAAGATATAATCACTGATGGTGATGAAGATATACAGTTCTCCCCCGAGACCTGGGAGAAGCGCTTCCGGAGAAGTTGAAAGTCTGTCTGACAGGGGGCTCAGCAAGACGGCCCCAGCAGACCCTCACTACACACTTGGGTCTGCCAGGTCCAACCGGCTTCCTCCCCTGCCAGCAGATCCAACTCACAACCAGACGATACAACAACAAAGTCGATCATCTACCTCCGACCTAGGGTGTTCTAGTAGTGCCATGTGCACTGATGGACACCCTTGTGCTCGAACATGGTGTTTGTGATGGACAAACCGTGACTAGCACAGAAGTCCAACAACTGAACACCGCTCGGGTTCAGATCAGGGGGACCGTTCTTCCCAATCACCCCTCTCCAAGTGTCACTGGTATTTTCCACATGGGCGTTGAAGTCGCCCAGGAGAATAACGGAGTCCACGGGTGGTGCACCGTCTAGTACCCCTTCCAAGGACTCCAAGAATGCCGAGTACTCAGCACTGCTGTTAGGCCGGTAGGCCGTGACATCAGTGAGAGACCCCACCCAAAGAGAGACTTTATATAACAGCAGTTTGTGTTCATAGAGGTGAGCCATACGTTTATTTTATTATTAAACCGTACTTCCGCATCGGCGAACACTCTCAGCAGCACTTGTTTACTGTCACTGGAGAACGAGAACGCTGGAGGAATATCAGATCAGATTCATTTATTTGCCATTTGCAGTAAAACCACATTGGAAAAACTGTGCAAGACTACCCCGGTGTGCGCCAGACAGAGACGACACACACCAGAGCTCTTGCCACGGCGCCATCTTTTCCGGCGCCATGCGACAAACAGTAGAATAAACAGCAGAGAGCAATAACATACAGGTTACAACAGACAGTTGGATAGAAAACATTGTGCTTTGTATAAACCACGGATTTTTTTTCGGGATGAGCACCTTCTGCAGCCGGCCCAATGTGGCTGTCAGAGGGGGGCGGGGTCAGGGAGGGGGTGAGCCGGAAACACAGTGAGGAGGGGAGGGGAGGGAGAGATCAGAGGGAGGCGGGGGGAGCGGGATCCAAGCTGGAACTGACTGAAAGAGTGTGAAATTGTTGTAGAGTCCAGATTTATTATGATGGCCTTGGCCCGAGGAATGTGAGATAAGAGTGGAGGGAAGACACAGCAAGGAGAAAAACACATCTTCCTGTAACGAGGGACAATATTGTATGCATATTAGCAGTCAAAAACAGGCAGATATTCTATTAAATCCAATTAAACCGAATTGCGGCGCCCTCAGACCCCGTACACAGGGGCCAATCCAAGCCGGGTCAGAGAGTTCAAGCGTGACAAACAATGTCATTCAATCTCAATTCCAGAGTTTTATGCCCATCAAGTGAACGAGCTGCGAGATCTCTGATCAACTGTTCCACTAACACCACTCTTCTTTGTCCAGCCACAGCGCTCTCAACCACGACTCGGTTAAGCTCCTTGTACATCCCATCAATTTTGTTGGCCAGCAGGTCGTGAATCTTGCGAACTGCCATGCCTCCGAATTTATGGTAGAATAGAACCGCTCCAAGCCCAAACAGGAGGATCCCCACCACCAAAAAGCCAAAGATATATACGTCTTCCGAATCTTCAATGGACAGGGTCGACAGACAGAGGGGCTGCCACTTGTTCCAGCTGTCAAGCGTATAACCCGCTGGTGAAGTCCCGTCCGGGCACTCGGGCTCTCCAGACCCGCGCTTACGTGTTGAAAAGATAGAATCAATTGCGTTGAGGGACCAATTTACCATTTCCATTCTTGCTAAAAGTGAATATGTTCACAAGCACTGTGTCCCCCCTAGACCGCTAATGTCCCCATGACCACTTTTGTGACGCTCTCATTGGTCACTGCACGTGCGTCCCGAGGAAAAAAGTTCAGCAATGTTTATCTCCTGCCTGCGTCAATGTTCCACTCATGCACCACAGCCGCACCTCTACCGCGCAGTCCGTGCGTCTCTACCACACAGTCCGTGCATGCGTCCCCAGACTGACGCTTGAATGCACGTCACCATTGACTTTGCATTGAGAGTCGCCGCAACGCATGAGCTGGTCTGAACGCCCTATTGGAGTGTCCTGGATCCTCACCACAGTCCTTCTTGTATATATATATAGTATATAAATGTTAGGGCTGTCAAAATTATCGCGTTAATGAAAAATTTAATTTTTGTGAGTTAACGCGTGTCCGAATGACCCGCCCAGTTATCCATATTATCACTCAGAATGCCGTACACATGCCTGTGTGAGATGGCAACAGAGCAGGTCTCTGGGAAATCAAGTTTAAAGAATACGCACATGACCGCGGGGCTACAGTCTATGGTATGAACTGAAGTCCGCTCTGGTTGTTAGCGGCTGTGAGCCGATCACAACAACACGGTGAACGGTGCTGCGGTAATGTGGTCATATAAGACCATACACGCCACAGGACTATTCTCTGCATGTTGTTTTCGTGTCTTTGCAACCTGTGCTTAACCTGTGCACCCAAATACCGTGCCTCCTCCTGAAAACCAAACTAAACTCGCTAAATTAAAGCTGGAGTACGTAAATTTTCCCCTTTCATTAGCAGCTAATTTTGGTTGTGCCCAAAAGTAAAAGGTTGTGAGCAAATCAAACAGATTTACGTACATTTGGTATGAATGACATTGTGTCATTATATTTGATAATCGTGAGTTAACTCACCATTACTATGCGATTAATCAACTAAAAAATTGTAATCGTTTGACAGCCCTAAAAATTATATATATATTTATTTATCTTTCCCTTTATTGAAGACAAGAAAACAGACAGACACATCAACATTCAACAAGAACAACAAATAAACAAACAAAAAAGTATATAAATATATGCATTTGAAGGCCATTAATGTTGTGCTTAATTTTTGATATTTGTCGCTTTCGATTCAATGCAGATTGCAGTTTTAGGTGACAGACAAAAATATCTCAATGATATCGTTATCGCAATACTAAACACTAAACACATATCGAATATCGCTCTAATTTCCAATATCGTGCAGCCCTAATATATTCCTCTTATAATGAAGATATATTCCACTGATCTGTTGATGACGATGAAGAAATAATACACTAATCTAATGATGATGACGAAAATATGTTCCACTGATGATGAAGACATATTCCACTGATTAATGATGATGATGAAGATATATTCCAGGGCTGCACGTGCGATATCCATATCGAAAAGATGCGCTATAAAAAAATTATATATTTTTTAATTATATATATTTTTCCTTTATTGAAGACAACAAAACAGACAGACACATCAACATTCAAAAAGAACAACATATAAGCAAACAAAAAAGTATATAAAATATATTCATTTGAAGGCTGAAGAAGATGA